AGTCACTTGCCTGCTAACCAGACGGCTGGCGGTTCAAACCCACCAGCCACTCCTCGGAAGGAAGGTTGGGCAATCCTACTTCCGTAGTGATACTGCCTCGAAAACCCAAGGAGGGGTCGCTATGAGTCGGGGCCGACTCGACGGCACATAACGACAACAACAACAACAGACCTGGACCACCACAGGATCACATGCTTTAAGTGATACCAGGTTCCTTTGTTACTTCGAATCCCTCCTGCTGCAGAAAGGCTCCCTAAGCTTTGGTACACACGAACTTTGCACACCCCTCTGCAGTGCAGCCTCAAGGCAGGACAGACACCTGCGAGCGTAAATTGCGGAACTAAGACTCAGCTCCCCCTCTTCCTGGCAAGCTCCTCGACTTGCAGCATGCGGAGTCGCCACATCTGAACCCAAAGACTGCAGTGACATTTCTTGCGTCACTGTAACAATAAAAGTAAATTCTAACGTTTCCCGTATCTATACTACCTCTCAATCGGCACTCTCAAAACATTTTGCTCGGTATTTTGGCCTTAGTAAGACCTCATCTTCTCTTGGGAGAAGGGTAAGTACTTCCAGCTTTTTTGGTTGCGTTTTTCTCTAACTTATTTGCGTTGGGAATTTATAGGATTTGTTTTCACCACTATAGGAAAATGTCTTAATATTCGATGAATTCTTACATAATAACTTTTTCCACTAGTTACAAGACATAATATTCCCCTCTTCTTTTACTCCATCTCCTCCCACAAAGTAACTGCGCTTATGTGGAAGTATTTAGGTTACATCATCCTAAACAATCTCAGACATTTACATCTGGGGGGAGGGAGAAAACAGAGACAGGTATTCTGAACTTTTAGAAAGCTCTGCCTCCTTCCTCCTCTCCACCTCTTAAAACTTCTTTTGCAGGGAAATGAACCAAAGCTTTGCAGTGATTCTAAGTATCTGAAAACCACAGTAACCTATACTTAATTTAAGATGTCAAAATACCACCAGTGCTAGAGTTCCCAACTTCTTCAACACAGATGACACAGTTCACTATTTTTAGCACGGGGACCTCGTGTTTTTAAATACTTCTTATTAAGCACATTGCATTTATTAATAACTTATTTTTCCATTTTTTTTATTAATTAAAACACCACTACATCCTAGCTCCCCTTCCCATGTCTGAATGCAAAGCAAAGACTACAGTGACAATTCTTAGGTCACCTTAGCAATAAAAGTAAATGTGAACATTCTCTGTATCTGTAACATAAATAAAACCAAGCAGCTGTCACGTTATGTTTCCAGCTGGAAGCAAAGAACCATGACTTTTTGTAAGCCTGGGTAGTCTTATTGTGGGGAAATGTAAGGTTTTTATTAGGCTTTTGGAAATACTATAAATAACTCCTTGTTCTCAAAGATTAGGGTTTTTTTCTCCTTGACAAAAACGTAACCATGTAAGAAAGGGAATCAGCCTAGGACACACCTATCTAAGGGTATAAGAAACTTCATTGTAAAGGAAAGTTTGGACTCAGAAAGGCTCAACAACACTGTCCAGCGTGCTGCATCAATGAGAGTAGCATGTATGCTCTTAGGGCAAGTGTGCTTGATCTTATTACTGCTGTACCCTACAACCTCCTTCCCACCCCATCCCCAGTCTTAGTTGCTAACAACTAAGGAAAACTGGAGAAGGATATCATGCTTGCTGAAGTGGAGGGACAGCGAAAAAGGGGAAGACCTTCAATGAGATGGATTGACACAGTGACTAGAACGATAGGTTCAGGCGTAGCAAGGATTGTGAGGCTGGTGTAGCACCGGGCAGTGTTTCATTCTGTTGTTATCTACAACTTCTTTACACCTAACAACAGCAACAACAGGGAAACTGGGTTGTGGAGATCAAAAAGAAGGCAGGAGACCTGGGTTTTATTGAATGTGACCTTTTTCTTTTCAGTTATTCACAAGAAAGGCCTAATGCAGTTAAGTCACAGAATGATTAAGTGACCTATCCAAGATCACTCAGCCATCAGAGTGCCAAGCTGCCTGTGCTATAGGTATTGTTGGAGGTGAAATATGTTCCCTAAATTATATGTTGAAGTTTTTTTTAAAAATTTATTTATTTATGGATAATTTTATTTTGATTTGGGTGAAGATTTACAGAGTAAATTCACTTTTCATACAACAGTTCACATATACTTTGTCTCGTATAATTGACCACAATTTAGCACAATGCAACAGCTCCCCTCCCACTTCCTCCCCATAGTTACCTCTTCCCAGTGTCCATCCCTCCATACTCTTCTGCGCCCTGAGCTGTCTCC